GTTTATTAGTTTTTGTGGCTTTTAAATCTGATTGTTTTCCCCATTCCTATACCTCTTACCTTCTTTAAGGTTTCTTGGACTTGGTGTTCATATTTAACCTGTATCTTCTTCTACTGTCCCTCTCTCCATTCCTTAACAATAACTATGTATTGACCTTGTTGAAATCCAATTCCATAATAACTTTTTTTTAATCATTGTTTCTTGTTTCAAAGATGTATGAAGATTCATTATCAATGATTAGCTTTATTGCTCTGAGAATTATTTTCTTACAGATCCTTGGTTCATTTACAAAGTGATTGGTTGACTTATTGGGTCTTCATGACAGTTGCTGTATTTCCTAAACATTTTCAGTGTTTTCTAGGCCTCAGATCATATAAAAGGTCATAATTTCAAGAAGTCTTCATGAGTTCTAGAGTATACATGGACATTCAGAGCAGCTTTTAGATATAGTGAAAAACTGAAAGTAAATCAATCAAGATCAATAGGGGGTAAAAGAAATTGTGCTATAACCATTCATGAAATCCTACACAACTGTAAAGATGAATGGCTGAATTTTGTATATACTGTAAAAAGAGATACCTAAGATAATTTTAAGTCAAACAAGTAAGATGTAGAATACATATTGTATGAGTGCATTTTTGTTGTGTAAAATAACAAACAAACTTATGGAGAAAATTAAAAAAAAAAAAATCCAAGGAACCATTATCAATGATTACTAGTGGGAAACTAGATAAAATGAGGATGTGCATTTCTGTCTTTTCATTTCCTATTTCTGTCCACTATAGAAGTGGAGATTTTTTTCTTATTCCTTTTTTCCTCCTTTTCCTTCCCTTCCATCCCCTTCCCTTTTTCTATTCCCTTCCTCTCATCCTCAGTCCCTTTGTCCCTTCCTTCACAATAACTATGTATTGCTTTTACAATTGAAAAGTTTTTTGTAATTATGCATTTATTTAATAAACAAGGAAGAGGAGACTATTCTGTTGGTGTCTGATAAAACCTTTTCTGAATGAAAAACGTCATGATTTTCTAATTTACGATGATTATAAGAAGGCTTTAGGAAAATTCCCAATTGTTTTAGTTTAAAACTTCTAGTGCCAAATGTGTCACGCTTTGTAACTATTTTTCCCTACTTTGTATGATTGGATTATGAGACTGAAAAGTGGGGGCGTATCCCTCTGCCTCTGTGGTACCATGTAAAATGTTACTACCAGAAAACATTTGTCCTTTTGAAAGAATAACATAATTGTTTACTTCTTTGTAAAAGATTGATTGATTATTTATTTATTGTTATGACAGAATTAAACTTGCTTTAAAAAACCAAATGTGATTGCACACTGGAGAGTTCCGTTCACACTGAGAAATTAAATTTACCGATTTGGAGAGATTTCAGACAAACCTTTTATCTGTGTTGGTTTTAACATATTTCCTATTTTTCTGATAGTTTAAAGCACACTAAATTCATAATATCCTGAGAAGAATATGGTTTTTGATAGGATGTCAGAAAGTGCATATATGGTAATTAAAATTGAAATAAATGAGGCATCATATGCACAGCACAAGTTCTGAAGAAGGACTTGGCCATCTAACAGAAATTCAGTAACAATGCTTATGTGTTTTTAAAAATAAAAATTCCTTTATAATAGAATTCTTGTACAATAGAAAAAAATAGTGTGGTGATTGATAAAGTAATGGAATTTAATTTTCACACTGAATTTTTGCTTTGAATATATTGACTTTCCCACACTACTGTTGCCTTTTATATTTTTTACTGCCTGTCACATTATTATTCCTTGCAGCTTCATGGTTTTATAAGATTAGTCTTCAGAAGCAACTGATAATGTCAGTCCAGTTTGTAATGAGATCATAGGAACTAGCATCAATTGAAACAGAACTGATAAGTTTAAAAAAATTGTTTCTAGCCTCTTGTTCCACCTCACAAAGATATTAATGGGGTTTGGCTTCTACTTTCCTTACTACTTTAAATTAGAGTAAATGGTGTTATTCCAACAAATTCAATCAAATTGTTTGTGAATATAGTGCTTCTTTCATATACTTTACAAGGTAAGTTTTATATTATGCCTTCTATGTCTTTAAAAACTACCACATTAAATAACATATCAGACATGTTTTGTGTTATTTAAAATAATTCTTTTTAGCGTCACTGGAAGGCATTATTCAAAGCTTACTATATATCAACAAAAGTTTTAAGTATTAGCTTGCTGAAGAGGAATAATTAAGTACCTCTGAATATAAGTGAAAAATGTTTTTATTACAACTTTTTGGATACTAAAATAAACTGGAATATTATGTTTGCCTGAGAAATATAGATGTTACTACTGACTGGCGCGAGACAGATTTGTTCTGTGTAAGTGATTTTGTGATTTTTAATATAAGGTTGGAAATAATGGTAAATCTGCCAGTCTCACAGAGTTAGTGAGAATAACTTATGAAGGAAGTTTTATGGAGGAAATGCCATATGTTTTAGGTGTTACTCTTTTGTTTAGAATTAAATACTGATTAATATTTTTATCAGCAACATATGGATTTATTTTATTGTGAAAAATGAGTATTCATTATTCACAAACATTTGTTTATTAAGTACTTGTAGTGTACTAGACATTGTGCCAGGTGTGGGTATATAATTTGAGGTTCTTGTATTGATGTAGCTCACAGTTATTAAAAGGGAAGGAATGTTTAAAGCAGATAACTATGGCACATAGCATAACTATGGCACATAGATGTAAGTGGTATGAATGAATGATTGATCTGCTAAGGATCTCAGGCTTCTGAGAAGCCTCATAATGCTTCTGAGAAACTGTGCTTAAAGCAAAATAAGTAAGAGTATTAACACTGCAAAAAAGGTAGTGGTTATTGTAGGTCGCCTGAAATTAGATAATCAGTGTTAAAAGAACACTAAATATAGAACAGCACTCAATTCATTAATTGTTTATTGAATTGTGACAAGGGACAAGTCCCTGTTTCAGTCACTGAGCAGCTAAAAAGCTGGAAAGTTCTCTGCATAGTCCCCCTGTATGTGCATAGAGAGCTGTGCCCCAGGACAGAGATCAGGAAAAGGTGCTGTGGGAACTTAGTGTCATCTGACCAGGCCAGGGTGTTACTGTTCAATCCCACAGAGACAACTGACTTCACAAGTAATTTGGACCCTTTAGTACTGAGTTAAAAAAAAAAAAGGACAGACATGAAAGGGAGGAGATATTTTGAGAAATCAGTGGTAGTTTAAAAACACATTTGTGACATAGGCTTGGTGCCTTGAAGTCAGTTAATGAATTGGATATAGGTAATATAATGGGAAGCTGACCCACAGTGTAGTTGAAGTAAGGTTATAAAATAATAGGCACCTAGTGATATCACCGGTTTATCAAACTAGTGATATTGAAAGGGATATAAAGAATGCTGTCTGCAAATACTATTGGCTAACCCTTGTAGAATCTCTTAACTATATTTATAAATCAGAATTTCCAAGACGATTTCCTATATCTCTAAGTTAATATCCTCATAAATGAGGAGGCTTTTTTAGTCTGGCCCCAACACTGTCTGGTCAAGACCTCTGGGTATTGAGGACTTTTGTGCATAGAACTGTATTTAATACTCCTCCATAGTTTCAAATTACTCTAAATTCTCAATTACTCTTGAGAATTGTAAAACTTGGGTGAAGTAAAAATTATCTTTTTTAAAAGGTTGAGGCTGGTGCCCAATGCTTTATTCTATTTTTAAGAGTGTTTTTAGCTTTCCACTACAAATCTTTATCATGGCCTTTTCACTACTGGACATAAATTCCTTCAATTTTATTTTTACTACACCTTTAAATTTGTTTTTTCATTATTTTCTTTCTTACCTCATTCACTCCTGGAGTGGCGTTTGAATTCACTTTGAATGGCAAGATTCTTTCTGTGCTCTCCTGTCATGGTCTGCTTTTTATCAACTTTCTTTTGTATCTTAATTTCTTCCCCTACCCCTTCAAACAGATTATCTGTTTGAGAAACTAGAAAGAAACCCACAAAATCCCTTATATCTACTTCCCCTCAAACTTTCCCTTTTACTCTCCTCTTTCACCTTTAAACAGCTGTTTTTCTTCGGTATCTCGATTCATGTATTTGCTATTAGTACTCCATCCACTAAGATCTGGCTTCTGTCCAGACCATTCGTTCTGTGGAAGCAGAGCTCACTAAAATTGTCATGAACTTCAGCTTGCCAGACTCTGCCTCTCCACAGGTGCTTGGTCTCTGCGCAAGCTACATGGCTAGCCATCCCCTCTAAGCTCCTCTCTTGCGTCTTTAGGTACCCACTCTTTCTTGGTAACTCTGTGATTGTTTAAGGTCTTGATTGTATCTTCTGCCCTTATCCTACTTACAAAATAGGTTATTCATTTGAATTCTGCATTTGATCTTTTCTTTTTGCACTGTGCATGTTCTTGGTTAAACTGTCCATGTGTCTCACAAATCCAAAGCTGCAGTCTAGATTTCTCCTGAGTTCTGGACTCAGCAACATTGTCATGGACATGGCACTCCAGACTGCTTTGCAAGCCCTTTATTGACTTATATCTGTTATCAACTAGAAGTGAAATATTTTTTCCTTTGAAAACAAATAATTCACACAATTTTTTAAAGATTAAATACTTCGCATAATGAGTTTTGAGGAAGAAATAAGAAGAAAAGGACTTATGGTTGGTAATAGTGTTAAATGCCAGTTTGTAAGCTAAATTCAAATGTAAGAGCACCAGTTTGTAACAGGAAATGAAAATACAGTATTCTGAAAAAAACTATGTTAGATACAAGGTAACAAAAGAAACAACATTGTTATAGCCACTTACATTACAGTGTAGTATTTTCCATATAAAAATATTTGTCTTTGACTTTAAATAATACATGAAGTTATGGGACCTGATAATAATTTCAATCTGACTGAGGGTAATTTGATTATCATTGATGATGGCTATAAAATTTTATTGTGATATTCTTATTTTGTTGGCTTTTGGGCAGTCTGAGAGAAAATCACTTCTACTACTTGGATGCATAGTTGATGAACTCTAGATGAAATCTCAGGACAAGTTGCTCCATGTAAGTACACCTTTCACTTGCTCTAGTTACATTCTTCCAGATCTTGACTAACACAGACTTGTAGATGACCACCTCCCACTCCTGCCTCTGCTGGTAGTCCTCACCTGCTCTGCCAGAGTTTCTGACTGTAGAAACAGAAACAAATAGACTTTTTTTGTAGAATGAATATTATCAACTCTTTAAACTGAAATAGAGAATGAGAGTGAGCTGGTAGAGTAGATGGCTGTGTGTAGAGAGAAAGTAAAATCTGAAGTGCCCTTTTAAATATGTTTTGTTTTTAAATGATAAGAAGACTTAATTTAAAACTTTTGCAACAGGGAAGAGACTATTGCAATAGGTGAGAGAGACTGAACTCAGCTCATGGAAGATCAACTGTTGTTTAGTCTGACTTCATTTTCTAAAGGCACTCATTGGTCCCAAGATACTTTTAAGAGTAAGAGGTGTTAGAATCTTCTTATCCTAGAAAGTGGATTGTATTACTAACTTAAAATTCTTCCATGTCTGGAGGAAGGAATATACAGTTATTTAACTTTAGGGCATTTGGTTTTTAGAGTGCATTGAAAGTCTTCCAGTCAAGGCAGTTTGTTTAGAAGTGAAAGCATGCAGATGGCCTCTGTGTGTGTGTTTAAACAGCAGCATTTTATTTAGCTGCAGATTTTAACTGTATTTCGGGAAGTATTTTGTTAGCAAATGTAACCATGACGTAACGAATGCATTTTACATGCAGTAATGGAATTTAAATTGCTCTGCGAGTCTAAGTAAGTTAATCTCTTTTTAACCTGGTTTTATTTCTGCAATTTGGGGGAGGGATGTTTTAAAGAATATTTAAAATAAATAATATCATTCAAAATGCAAAATAATATGCTATAACTTGTATTAAATCACCTAACTACTTTAATCTGAAAATTTGTAAGTCAGGCTAGCTCTGGAAAAAAGTTTTGAGCAAAGCAGAATGCCTTTGCATCTTCTTGCCCTTAGCATCTGTGACATCCTCTTATCTCTCTTTTCAGATATGCAGTGGTCAGTGCATTTCTATTCTTCAAAGTCAGCTCGAAGGAAAAGGAAGTAGCAAGATTGATGTTTGTTTTGTGTCAGACTTTCTATTAAACATTTTACATGTATTCTCATTTAGTTCACTAAGACGACTGTCGAACTTATGACCTCAGCTCTCCATCCCTAACTTCAAACTCTAGTTAATCAACTGCCTAGGGAAGAAATGTGTTAAGAAATTTATTTACATCCCAGAGTGATACACATGCACGCCTATGTATCTGCCTACTTACATAGATTAATAATCCTGTTTCGTACAGAGAGCAGTGTGCCCTTAGTGGTAGAGTATGTGACTTTTGAAGACATGACTTGAGGACACTAAGCCTCCAGAGATTGTCATTGCCGGAGGGCACATATTATTAGTAACATATCTAAGAAAGGGATTTGGACCTGGGTTTGATTGACTTCATTGCCCATTTTCAAACACTACTCTCTACCTACCTATCCCTTTCTCTATTTGTTTTATTATTGTATGTAAGAATGAAATCTTTCCTGCAATGCTGCATTTTTTGTTATGTAAATCACTTGTTTAATGAAAACCAAAAATAATGGTGAGTCTACAAGTATTTTGATGATAAATAAAGAAACTCTATAATCTGAATTTGGTTATATGGTAATGCTACGTTTAATTTTAAACTGAAGCCTGAAGGACTAGTTGAATCAGGAAAAAACCTTGTTTCCACTTAGATGTCATTGTTTACCTTGAACATGAAAAATAGAGCAAGTAGTTACAAGGCTTAGAGGAATAAAAAATAATAGCCATCATACTGCCCTGGAAATAAAGGGAAATGATAAAGCACACACCTACCAGCTCTGTGATCAGTGATGTTTGCTATCGGGCAGACAGTTAATTCAGTGTAAAAAGTGTGTGAAAGAATGCTTTTAAGCCTTTAACTGCAGATGATTTTTGTATTATTATTTATTTTTAAGTACTGACAGCTGACCACTTTAATTGATAATGAATTTATAATTCATGGTAATACAGCTGAAATTAACTTGTGAACACAGATATTGCCATCCTTCTAACCCCAACACATACACACTTAGGATTGTTTTGAAAAACAAACAAACAAACACACACCTTGTTATACTTAAACAAATATATTGAGGCTAATCTATTACAGCAGTTTGCTTGAACAAACATTTAGACTAGGAAAGGAATCCTTTCATCTTAAAAGGTATACTGAGTCTTTGCTTCTGACCCCTCAAACCTTCTTCTTTCCATCTGGGCTGTATTGGAAGTGAAGAAATCACCTTAAACCAAGTCAGTTTGAGATCATAAAAGCTGTGAAGAATGGCAATTCTCTGAAACTTCACTGTATTCTTTCACCATCATCGTTGGCCTAGTTCTTTGCTGAAAGATTCCATAGTTTCTTTAGTATTTGTAGGGTTTAGAAGATTGTAGACCAATACATCTTTCTTCTTTTGATTATTCTCTGTACTTGGGTTATCAGTGTTAGAAAAGTTATAGGAGAATCCATGAGTACAGTATAAAAACATTAAAGAAAAGCCCTTGAGAAAACAAGTCTGCCACATTTGTTAAGTATTAGTGTAGTTTTTCTGGTTATTAATGTTGAACTAATTTCCTTTCTGCCAGGGCCTTGTAGTATTTCATTCTTTTTCATTAAAAAGAAGGGTTCTGTGAAAGCATTGATGTCTTTCAATAGTTATAATTGATACGGGCGTTCTCTTCCACCTCTGAGAGCACGGAGGCTAAGTTTCTGTTTTTGTAACAGGTTTCTCTGCTACTTTTACCTCTCTTTTTTTTTTTTTTTTTGGGAAAATTTATTTATGTATATAAGAGCTGGCATGCAAGCCAGAGGTGCTGGGGTGAGAGGATTCACCAGAAAGAGAGGCAGAGTGAGGAACAAAACAGGCGGATCTACTGAAGTACTGCTGAGGGGAGCAGCAGGCAAGACAGCAGAGATTTGCTGTGACATGTGGGCTAGCTCCCTGGCGGGGGATCAAACTTAAGCTGAAGTGGCTGTGGATAGCTTCACAGTTCTGAGCCTTAACCCCTTGTGCCACTATGGAGGCCCTCCTTTTACTTGCCTTAATTGTTTTCATGATTTTGAAGGAAATATCTGATCCTATAAAGTCTTGATCAAGAGATGGCTACAATAAAGTGTAAATTTTTCATCTTTTAAAACTCTTAACTGGGCCTCCCCAGTGGCGCAGTGGTTGAACGCTGGGCTGCGAAGCTGCCCACAGCCTCTGCAGCGCCGGTTCGATCCCTGGCCGCTGGTGTGGGTCCCACATGGTACGCAGATCTCTCCTGCTACCCGCTGCTCCCCTCAGCAGTGTACTTCATCAGTCTGCTCCCTGCTCTTGCTCTGGTGAATTCTCTCACCTTCCTGCGATTTTGACTGTACCCCAGTGCTTGTATAAATAAATAAATAAATCTAAAAAAAAAAAAACAAAAACTGTTAACTGGTGCTTGAAAGTCCTTTGTCAGTGGTAAGATATTATATTAAGTTGGGATGGTGCTGGAACAGAAGAAACAAGAACTAACCCATTCTCTACAACTGATCTTACATGACATTAGTCACTTGGAATAAGGATCTTGGACCTAAATTATCTTATTAGGTAGGAAATCTTCCTTTTGAACAAGCAAGTTTATTCTGCAGGATTAATAACTAGATAGACTAGTATAAGTAATACCAAGTGTGTCAGTTGGTCACTCTCTGGGCCCCTTCTGTGTATGTGCCTGACCATGTGCTGCTCTGGGAGATTGACCCCTAGTTCTTCTCAGACAAAACAGTGCTTACCTCATGGGACATGTCCTGCTACCACAGTCAGAGCCCTCTTGTGAGCACTATAAATTGATCAAAAAATTGTAGAAGACAATTTATGAAGCACCCATTACTTCTACAACAGAATTTATGTCATGCCGTAATGGAGGCTAACTAGATCACTCTGGGAAGCCAATAATGGAAGTTAGTCAAGGGGTTCAAGTTAGTCGGCTGACTTGCCTTGTGTTCTCCAGAGCAACACTGGCAGCCAGTCCCAAGCTTTCCTACTAAAGTGTCTTCTCTGAGGATCTGTATCAACCTGGCCTCTTTAATCTTCCAGGTTCTTTAAACTATATTTACTTTTTCCTTTTGGAAGCAATATCATCAGTATAGATTAATCCTCATTCTGACTTGGCAATATGGTGAAGTAGAGTGTAAAAACACTCTGTATTTCATTCTCAGATCTCTAGTTACTACTGAAGTGATTTTGGGCAGATGATTCCAGATCTCTCTGCTTCCTTTGTTCTTCTATGACTAATACTTACAAGCCCTGTGGCGAGAGTTAGGTTAACATTTGTGAAGCACTTAATAATATCGCATGATAAGCTCTTTTTAAGTGTTTGCTATGATGATGATTACTTAAAATATAGTCCTACCTGACCTGAAGTCTGAAATACTTTTTTTCTAATTTCTTCTAATGAATATAACATTCATTCACTCATTCCACAAATATATATTAGAAGTATGCTATGCACTGGGCATAGTGTTTGTCTTATTCCCATTATAATCCATACTATGGATAAGGCCAGAACCTCATAATAATATAGCAGTTTGAATTCCTGCTCTGATATTCTGGGATAAAAGAGTATAAATGACTTTATTCACATTCTTTAAAGGTAAGGTGGTATTGTGTTCTCTTTTTTATAGTCTGAAAGTTAATTTTGTTTCATTGTGTTCATTTGTTTGGTTTCTCTATATATTTCTTCACATAAGAATGAAGTCGTATGGTGTTTGTATTCTTGGGATCACCACCTCTAAGATCACCTATTTCCTTCCTTTTGGAAATTAACCTCATAAATAACTCCATCCTCTTTTTGTTCTCAAGATTACTTATTAAAATACCATTGGGTCTTGGGGGAAAAAAGGTTAGGCACATAACTTGGACTTGGTTAGTATTAGCCTGAATGTCTTGGTACTCTTGCTAACTGGCAGGATTGAATGAGTGGAGCCCCACAGGGAAAGTCTGTTGGTCCTGTGGTCTCACAGATCTCAAGAAATGGAATTCTAACCTTGTCCATGCATTTAATGAAAAAAAAAAATACTCAGCTTTCTGAGGCTCAGTGATGGAAAGGTTGACATTTCTTTTGACTAAAAGGGAATGACCCAATTTCTTTGGGCGCTGCAAGTTCTTGCAACAGCTTCATACTCCTGTCCCCTTTCTTACATCATTTTGTTGCCACAACTGTTTGTATGAAGTGGTAGAGGCAACATTAATGTTTGCATATAATCTACTCAAACTATTTTAGTCTTTTCTAACTGTGTAAAGGTATACTCATTTTGGGAGAAAAGGAGTCACTATTACTTCCACTCCCAGACATAAGTGACCTAATTGATATACTCGATTATATATACAATCCATAGTGTACATGGTGTATGCAATATATTCTATCATGGCATTAGGAAGGCATTGAGACTGGGGAAAGAAAAAGAAAAGTTACAGAGAATCATTGGAGATTTTCAAGAAACAGTGAGGTCTCTTCCCAATGTGTTGTTCTGACTCTGTCTTTGACACATGAACCCAAAGTTTCTTGAAGATTTGGGCATTAAGAACCATTCTTTGATTGTATATTGAATTAAACTTGACTCCTTTGGTTGGAATCATAATCTGTAGACCCCTTCTCATGGTGTTTAAATACATAATGTAAAATATATATGGCTATATTTTTTAGTTATACTGAATGTAAAAAATATTTAAATTTTAATGTAGTGTAAGTGTGCATCTTTGGTGTTTAATATGATCTAATATTGGGTCTAAAAAGGACCATAATTTCGAAGTAATGTTGAGGACAAAAATTATTGATTATACATAGGTGACCAATTCACATGTACTATTATAATGACTATTTTTTCACCCATACATTTATAATAGAAATACTAACTTCATGTGTAGGCAAGTAAAAATAAAGATGTAACTGTTTACCAGGCTTACAGATGTATCTTTATTCTTTGCATGAACTCCAGGTTAGTAACTCTTGTTTAGAAGCAGCATTGAAGGCAGATTGGAGGTGGGAGTACTATGATAAATATAATGAAGACAGTGGAAAATTCTATCTATGGTATGTTTAATGATAAAAGAGTCACCTTCCATTTTGGATTTTTTTATGATTTTATTTATTTTATTTTGCATAGAAGAACTGGGGTATAGGGCAGAGGTGCGGGGGGGTACACATTTTGGAATTTTTTAAATTAAAAAGTATATAATTTTGTGATAAGATTTACATTTTCCATCTTAATATGTGCTTTGATATTTTTCTATAAAGTTCATGGAACCATGTGCTCTTTTTGACTTAAACATTGAAAATCTGACATTATAATAAGATAATTTACTATTCTGGATTATATGTGCAGTCCTCATTATAAAATTGAGAATGTTGTATATTTCCCTACACTTCAAAAAACTAAGTAGGCTAATCACTCTTTTCTGATCGTATGTCTCCTCTTCTTTAATCTGAAGTAGTCATAACTATTGAAATAAAGGTTTGAATGAGCAAAGTGGTTGGACAGTAATGCATAGGGATGTGGTATACAGTTCACTGGGTTATGGAAATTATCATTTCCTATTATTTTTAAAAAAGATTTATTTATTTATGTATACAAGAACTGGGGTACAGGCCAGAGGTGGGGTGTGAGAGGCTTCACCAGAGACAGAGTTGGGGAGCAGAACAGGCAGATCTACTGAACTACACTGCTAAGGGAAGCAGCAGGTGAGACAGGAGAGATCTGTTGCACCCTGTGGGTTAGCTCCCTGCCCGGGGATGGAACTCATGCTGTAGTGGCTGGCAAGAGCTTGATAACACTGTCTTTAACCCCTGCACCACCAGGGAGATGCTTCGTTTCCTATTATTGTTCTGAATACACTTACAGTGAGTTTCCAGTTTTGGTATTCTGTTTATTGTTCTTAATATATTTTGTATTTAATGCTTAGTTCTTTTAGAAATAAATTGTTGGCTGGGCCTCCCTGGTGGCGCAAGGGGTTAAGACACAACCCATGAAGCTATTTGCAGCCACTGCAGCACAAGTTCAATCCCTGGCCAGGGAGTAACCCACATGGCACAGCAGACCTCTCCTGACTCTCCCTCTGCTCTCCTCGGCAGTATATTTCAGTCTATCTGCCTATTCCGTTCCCCACTCTGTCGCTGGTGAATCCTCTCACCCCCCACATCTTTGGCCTGTACCCCAGTTCTTGTATGCATAAATAAATAAATCTTTAAAAAAAAAGAAAGAAATTGTAGGAAATATGCCTCGAACCTATAGATTTTATTTTCTTATTCTTCTGTTGTCACCTTTGACTCTTCTGTCCTGCCTCTTGACATCTGAACATTTCTCTTGGTACATTTTATTTCCACTTGCTAAATGCATGAACACAGTCAGATACAGTTAGAAGGAAAA